TCCGGGTTTACAGCCCCTACTTCATTGTCCCCAAGAAAGACCGGTGGGTTACGACCGATCCTGGACCTGCGCATTTTGAACCGTTCTCTCCATCGACTACCGTTCAAAATGCTCACGGCCAAACGCATTTTCGAATGTGTTCGGTATCAGGATTGGTTTGCAGCGATCGACCTGAAGGACGCGTACTTCCATGTCTCCATTCTCCCTCGACACAGACCGTTTCTTCGGTTTGCCTTCGAGGCCAGGCATACCAGTACGCCGTTCTCCCATTCGGGTTAGCTCTGTCCCCTCGCGTCTTCACGAAGATCGTCGAGGCAGCCCTTGTTCCCCTTCGCGAACACGGGGTTCGCATCCTGAACTATCTCGACGACTGGCTGTTACTAGCACACTCTCGAGCTCAGGTTTGCGAACACAGAGACCTGGTGCTACGGCACCTAGCCCGTCTGGGCCTTCGGGTCAACCGGGAAAAGAGCAAACTTTGCCCCGTGCAGAGGATCTCTTTTCTCGGCATGGAGATAGACTCGGTCGCCATGTCCGCGCAGCTCACGAACGAGCGCGCGCACTCACTGCTGGCTTGTCTTCGACAGTTCGAGGGCAAGAGTGCGGTTCCACTGAAACTATTTCAGAGGCTCCTGGGGCATATGGCATCCGCGGCCGCGGCAACGCCGCTCGGTTTGCTTCATATGAGACCGCTTCAGCTGTGGCTTCGCGATCGAGTCCCGAGGTGGGCATGGCATCGCGGCTCGCTCCGAGTTCCAGTGACTCCGACGTGCCGCCGATCCTTCTTCCCGTGGTCGAACCTCAGCTTTTTACGGACAGGGTCCCTATTCAGCGAGTTTCCAGGCATCTCGTTGTCTCCACGGATGCGTCTACCACGGGTTGGGGTGCCATGTGCAATGGGCATGCAGCCGCCGGTTCCTGGACAGGAGCCCAGCGCCTCATGCACATCAATTGCCTCGAGCTGTTGGCAGTACGGCTCGCCCGGCACCGCTTCCGAGCGTGCTCTAGGGCCAGCATGTGCTTGTCCGCTCAGACAACACTACGGCAGTAGCGTACATCAACCACCAGGGGGGGTCTACGCTCGCGCCGGTTGTCGCAGCTCGCCCACCACCTCTTGATATGGAGTCAGAAGCACCTGAGGTCCCTTCGTGCAGTTACATTCCTGGAGACCGGAACCGGGCAGCCGACGAGCTGTCCCGGGCCCGTCCCATCTCCGGCGAATGGCGACTCCATCCCCAGTCGGTCCAGCTGATTTGGGACCAGTTCGGGGGGCACAGTTAGACCTGTTCGCCTCTCGGGACTCGTCCCACTGCGCCCAGTTTATTCTCTGACCCGCGGCTCTCTCGGCTCGGATGCGCTGGCGCACAGCTGGCCACGGGGCCCACGCAAGTGTGCGTTCCCCCAGTGAGCCTCCTTGCACGGGTGTTGTGCAAGATCAAGGAGGACGAGGAGCAGGTCTTGCTGGTAGCCCCCTACTGGCCCACCAAGACGTGGTTCTCCGAACTCTTGCTCCTCGCGACAGCACCTCCTTGGCCTATTCCTCTGAGACCGGACCTACTCTCTCAGAGACGGGGCACTCTGTGGCACCCTCGTCCCGATCTTGGAGGCTGCACGTGTGGCTCCAGGACGGGACGAGGCAGGTTTGAGTTCGCTGCCACCTGCGGTGGCGGCAACCATCACTTCCGCAAGAGCGTCGTCCACGTGACACCTTTATGCGTTGAAGTGAAACCTCTTCGTCAATTGGTGTTCTTCTCGCTGAGAAGACCCCCGGAGATGTTCGATCGGAGTCATGCTTCCTTCCTGCAAGAGGGGTTGGAGCGCAGGCTGTCGCCCTCCACCCTTTGGATTTATGTCGCGGCCATTGCCGCGTCTCATGATGCAGTGAAAGGTAAGTCTATGGGAAGCATGACCTGGTCATCAGGTTCCGGGGAGTGAGGGGGCTAAAATCCGCCTCCCTCCCCTCCTGCCCTCTGGGGACCTCTCAGTAGACCTGGGTGCTCTGCAGAGGCCTCCCCTGGAGCCTTTGCAGTCGGTAGAGTTTTTTGCCCTGTCCTATGTGACAGCACTCCTGATTGCATTGGTATCCATCAGGAGAGTAAGGGACCTGCACGCACTCTCTGTTGACGAAGTGTGCCTGGAGTTCGGGCCGGCTTACTCTCACGTATTCCTGAGACCCCGGCCTGGATATATGCCCAAGGTTCCTACCACTCCCCTCCGGGACCTGGTGGTGAACCTGCAAGCGCTGCCCTGGAGGAGGCAGACCCAGCCTTGGCACTGCTCTGTCCGGTACGTGCTCTCCGCACCTATGTCGACAGAACGCAGTGTTTCAGGACCTCAGACCAGCTCTTTGTCTGTCATGGGGGGAGCCAGAAGGGAAGGGCTCTCTCAAGCAACGGCTGTCCCACTGGATAGGTAGATGCCATTGCTTTGTCTTACCAGCAGCAAGGCCTTCCGTGCCCCCTTGGTGTGACGGCCCATTCCACTCGGAGTGTAGCCTCCTCTTGGGCTTTAGCGCACGGCGCCTCGCTAACAGACATCTGCAGAGCTGCAGGCTGGGCGACACCCAACACCTTCGCCAGATTCTATAATCTGCGAATTGAGCCGGTATCCTCTCACGTACTCGTTTCGGCCAGTTCTGGATCCGCTCAGGTGTCTTCGCTTGCTCGCCACTCCACTCTCTCCGGACTGGATAAGTGCGATATTTCCTCAGTTCTTCCATTGAAGTCTTGAGTCCTCCAGCACCGACGATGCGGGCACCACTGCTGTTGCTCTGGATGCTGGCTAGGTGCCTCCATGCGCACGGTTCCCCTTGGTAACCGTCTCATGTGTATTATCCACTGTAAGCCTCTCTGAGCATGTGTCTTCCCTTGGCAAGCCATCTGCCACCCCTGGAGTTGAAATTAGTAGCCACCTGCGGTTGGTACTCCAGTGTTCCATATGTGTTCCTATGTGGCCATATGTGTTCGTAAGTCCTCCCTTCGGTAGGCAGCTAGTAGCATGTCCCTTCCGGGATATGTTTCCAGTGTACCTTGGTAATCCTGTGTCAAAGTCGGATCCCAAAAAAAAAAAAAAAAAGAGGTAAGGCTCGGGGGTCCAGACTTTCGCAGGGCACTGGAAGACAGCTTGAAGATGGCGTGATGGCACTGACCCCCAATCTCCGTCACTTCTGACGTAACTCGAAGTGACTACGAAAGGGAACGTCTCGGTTACGTATGTAACCCTCGTTCCCTGAGTAGGGAACGGAGACGTTACGTCTCCCTGCCACTTCTGCTGTATCGCTGGGTAGACGCCGAGTTCAGTCTTGGCTCCTCAGCGAAGACATACTGCGGTTGCGTTCACTTCCTCCTTTTATACTCACGGAGTAGGGCGGAGTACGCTATGCAAAATTCCGCAGCCCCAAGGCATTGCATGCCATTGGCTCGTGTTTAAATACTCGAAGAGGATTGGCTTTCTATGCGAAACCCCCAATCTCCGTCACTTCTGACGTAACGTCTCCGTTCCTTACTCAGGGAACGAGGGTTACATACGTAACCGAGACGTTTTCTAAAATCAAAATCCCTAAAAAAATAAAAAATAAAAAAATGTTTTGCAGAGGCTCTTAGGAAGACAACACAGATCAACTGGCAAGGAACTGAGAGGGAACTCTCAAAATAGTTCAGGACAAGAGATGGAGGAGGAGAGTGTCTAGATGCGCAAATGACTGTCTGCAGTGTAAGCTGTACTGATAAATGTACTGTATAGTTGCTGCTTCTTCTAACTGTCACCAATTTATATCCTGTTCAAATGTTCAGTAAAGACTGGGTCAAATACAGGTTCAAAATATGTATTTTAACAAATAGGTATTAAATAGATACTCTTTAATCTGACATAAATCTGCTTCTTTAAATATTGTCCCTGGAATTTCAGAATATAGCATAATATGATGATGAGTAATTTTAATAAAATTGAAAATATTTCAATATCACTGTGTGCTCTAATGCTTTAAAACTTGTTTGTGTGGTGTTGCTACTCATTTAGATGGAGCCCAGATGATCCCTAATTGGGCCACATGCATATGATTCCTAGTTGGGCCCCACCTAAAGCCCTGTGAAATCCTGTATAAAGAAATCCTGAATCCTGAAATCCAGCAAGTTGCTGGGGCCAGCATGGAACCTATGGACAAACCCACTTAAAGCCCATATTTCAGCCCATATAGTAACCTTGTAGTACCCACAAAAAACTAAAGCTGGGACCAAGATAGGTCTTGTGCATGTGGCCCAGTTGGGGCCCACCTGTTTATAAGTGCGATCCTACATGAAACCCACCTGGGCGATTTACATGGCACCATTATGGAACCCACGGACAATCCATACAGAGCCCACTTTTCATTTCAAAGCCACATGGGACCCACATACAAATGTCGGCTGGGTTAAAGCTGGGCCCGAGATGGGTCTTGTGCATGTTGCCCACTTGGGTCCGGCCTAGTACCAAGTGTAATCCTACATAAAATTCATCTGGGCAATTTACATAGGGCCATTATGTAACCCGCGGACAATCCCAATCAAAGCCCATTTTTCAGCCCATTTCAAACCCACATGGGCCCCACATATAAATATCGGCTGGGTTAAAGCTGGGACCGAGATGGGTCTTGTGCATGTTGCCCACTTGGGTCCGGCCTAGTACCAAGTGCAATCCTACATGAAATTCATCTGGGCAATTAACATGGGGCCATTATGTAACCGCGGACAATCCCAATCAAAGCCCATTTTTCAGCCCATTTCAAACCCACATGGGCCCCACATATAAATATCGGCTGGGTTAAAGCTGGGACCGAGATGGGTCTTGTGCATGTTGCCCACTTGGGTCCGGCCTAGTACCAAGTACAGTCCTACATGAAATTTATCTGGGCAATTAACATGGGGCCATTATGTAACCCGCGGACAATCCTACATGGGGCCCATTTTTCAGCCCATTTCATACCCATATGGGCCCCACATACAAATGTTGGCTGGGGAGGACAAGGACAGGAAGTTTTGTGAAGCTGCCGTCTCTTCATTATCGCAGCTCAGACCAGACCACTGCACCGATAAATGAGAGAAGTGCTGAGGGTAAATCAAATGACCATTACAAATCCATGTGTTATATTTTAACAAAAGAATCACCATAATGGGTATGCAGTGTGTAATTATTATGTATTTCACACAGAACAGTTAGATATTGAGCTGACACTTTTTATCCAAAGCATAATTTATTTGAAACGTGAAATTCTCTACTGGACAGTGCCTGTGCTCTAGAGGATCATGGTCTTCAGATACCTCTATCCAGTGGTCTTGAAGTCGTTCCTCCTGTAGATCCGCAGGTTCAAACCCCTTCAGCTCCAGTCCACCACAGTCCAGCACCAGATCACAGAGTGGACGTAACAACTGAGGGTGAGTTTACTGCCATATCTCAAATATTACTCTCCCTGCTGTCCATGCTTGACATTTCATGTCAAATATAACCATTAATCTTTTAACAGACGGCTTTTAACTTTTGGCTGCTACAGGACTGAATGTGACCCCTGGACCGGATTACGCACAGGTACTCTGTTAAACTCTTCTAAACTAATTTTTCTGTAAAGATTTCACTGGATTGATTGTGGTGCTAACACCCTTGATCTGTGCTTGAGGTGTGTGCCTCAGAATCTCAGGGTGTAGTCAATACTGAATTTCCAGGCCGTATCCAGATCTGGCGATGACCTTAGCCTGGACACGATGACGATGACAATGCAGTGCTGAAGTGCCAACTAGCCTCTCCCTATGGAGGATCCCTTTCCCACTCTACAGATTAAGCGATGTGAATTCGTTTCGCGTCCCTACCCTGAAGTGATTAGAAAATCTGTATCAAATTTATAGACAAGAAGTTTGTTCAGGCATGAGGGAATTTAAAAACCTGCGCGCATATATTCAAACGCACATAACTATTGAATCAATTCTCAATGCGCATGTGAACGTCATCAGCAGGGCTGTTACTACCAATTTATCACAGGTTCGCATTTAAAGTCTATTTAGAAACATTCATATACATTTTCACGTGACAGTTACTGTAAATTCGGCCTCTAGTTCATAAACGCCAGAGGAGAACTGGCCCCCGACTGAGCCTGGGTTCTCCCAAGGTTTTTTTTCCTCCGTCGGGTCACCTGATGGAGTTTTTCAGTTCCTTGCCACTGTCGCCTTTGGCTTGCTCAGTTGGGGATATTCAAATCAATTATACTACAGGGCTGTTGAACGCTTGATTCTGATTGGTTGAGAACATTCAATAGGTGTGCAATTATTTTGACGGCTAAAGTAGTTTCAGGCAAGTTTGAACCGCATTACAGTTGCATATCACTGCGCGTAGTTAACGGAAAATAGGATACAATTCATACCAAGAGAAGACATGCAGCCCCATGCGCTTGATCTGCAATTTTCGATGTCTAACTTCACAATCAAGTGACACATACAGTTTAATTTTAATAAATAAAGTATAGTCCTATCTATAATAGGCTAAATAGAAAATTAAACTGAAGGCTATATAAATAAATTAATAGTCCTGCTGCACGTAATTTCATAAATATTCCAGATAATATAACAAATAAATAATTATTGATTGGCTTACTTGTAAAAAAGTGCTTTGTGTGTTTCATTTATTGGGTTATCTACTGTCAATTATAGAAAACAATAATGAACAAATTAATTAAAACGAAGTTAATAAATAAATAATAATATTGACGCACATGCTTGTCTGTCTCATTATTTCAATGTCTCTCTCTCTCTCTCTAATAACTGCATTAATAACTGCATAAAGCCGGGACAGACTAGTTTAGGCCTACTAAGGCCAGTTATGAATGTAATTTGATACTTCTGACTGATCATGCCCAAACGCCCGTTCAGTCTGTGTTCACACAGTTGGTGTTACTTTAGTAAGACCTGCTACAGTCGATGGAAACAGTCGGTCTTCGAATATTTCAGTGAATTGTAAGTGTGTCCCCCATCATTACATTAGTCTGCTATCAGTGGCTCAAACCTCCGTTACTACTAAACTCTAAAATGACGTTTAGCAACGGAGGCATGGGATTAGATGCGTAAGAAATTAGTCCTACAAACAAGAGCGCTTTAATATAAAAAACTTGACAAACGTCTTGATATGAATCATCTGAACAAGGTTTTGAGGTGTGGTAACTGTAGTATAAGAGGAATAATTGATGACACACCCGAGGTTTAACTCCCAAGCTTCACATGACCGCATTACCACCTCGGGTCTGCATTATTTTTCTAATAATTCAACGGCCTGTCGTCAATTATTCCTTACTTGATTTAGACTGTTTAAAGTCAATTCACTTACTAAATTACCAATATATATAATTAAATCATTTATATAGACTAAATAAAATATATGAATAACATTAGCTTGAAATGGAAATAACACACTATGAGCTAAAATTAGCCCAGTGTTCAGTCAGTGTGAGCAGAATTTGGGTTAAATTATGTAACCCAACCCTGCTGGGTTAAAACATTTAACCCAACTTGTAGAGTTATTTTAACCCATAATTTGTTATGTCCAATATTTACCTAGAAAGTGCTGGGTTACCAAATTAGTTGTTTTTAACCCAGTTAAACCCAGTGTTTTTAATTTTTGGAGAGTAGGATCTGTAGAACGTAGAATAACAAAACTGTTAACAAAAAAAAAAAAAAAATGAGATCTTGTTACAGTTTAATTGACTTATCTCAAACAATAACGTCAATGTTAGAAATTTCCGTGAGTATATGTGCGAGACAACATTCGAGGTATGTTGACAAAGAGCAGAATGGATTACTAGGAATAGGAAATGATTGTGTAATTATCTAAAAATGCTTCTGGAGAAGTACTGGGCGGGAGACATAACGCTTTTCCACAGCAAACCCGACCTGTTTAAGTTTCTCTTTTTCTAAGAAAGACTCCCTTTTTCTTAGTAACTACAGCACCAGCACGCCACAAGAAGTCCTAAACCCACCCCTTTCTGAACAGATATAAAAGAAACTCAAGCATTACTTCAGCACAGTCATTCAGCTCCTGACACAAGATGAATCTGCAGATCTCCGTCGTTCTTCTTTTCATTTCTCTCACTGGAGGTACAGAAAACAGCAAGTATTGAAATGTATTATTTTCTAATCAAACTGTAGTGCGCAAACTCTCTCTCTGTCTGCAAGGTTATTCTCTCAAGTGTTACTCCTGCACATCTCCATCGAGTTCCTGTAAAGACCAAGAGGACACATGCTCATTTGGATTTTCTACATGTATCAGCACTACAGTGGAAAGACCTAATGGTAAGTCCAGTATAATGTGGAAATACCACTAGAGGGAAAGTTTCCACTTGTTAACTGCTGATCTTGGAATTGTTTTATCATCTTATAATTATATGGACATGTATGTCTTTTCTACAGATTCCATCACAACTAAAGGGTGTGCACCCGTCTGTGCCCCAGGGACTGTAGAAGTTGCAGGAGTGAAAACGACTATAAGATGCTGTGACACTGATCTCTGCAATGCTGCAGGTATTGGCCTTTGTTTCATCATGCGCTAGCAGTTTCATTTCATCCACAGTAACTTCAAATAAGTTACTTCAATAAATTATACAAACAACTAATGTCCTTCCTGTCTTGTTTAGATGGAGTGTATAAGGGAAGCTTCCTCTTGCTGGTGTCTCCTCTGCTCTTCTACTTCCTGTTTCAGTGAGTCCAGCTGAACTTCAGATTCTACAGCAAAGACCATCAAACAAACTCCATATCAGACACAATATGAATAAAGCTTGTTTGTTGCTCTGCTGTTCTTTGGGTTAAGGAACTGACAATCTGTACTTTTTTAACATTACAAAATAACTTCATTAAAACTACCACATTAATTTTATTTTCATATTATGAAAAGTTATTATAGACTGTTGCCGTTTGTAATAAAATATCTACTTATGTCTATTAAACATCTATCTCAGTGAGTGACTGGAATTTTAATTGTTTGTTTCAATTAGCTTACGTCATCGGTGGTAGCATATAAGTAGAGCACAAAGACTGCAAGAACACAAGCCCTGTGTTAGACCTGCTGCTACTGTGATTTACAAGCTTAGATGAGGGCCAAGGAAGGATGTTGAAACTGCCTGAATATGTTAACATTACCAGCTACCTCTGCCTTGCTGGTTGAAATCTGTTTATCCAATTTAGTTTTTGTAAACACATGTAAGACATTTTACTGTATGTGAGCATGCAATGCACAGAATTTATATATAAACTGTGTTTACTATATATTATACATAATTTGTGTATATATTAAACAATTCCATTGAAGGAATACGGAGGTGTATTGCATTCACTTGAAGAAAAAACAATCTACTCTGTTTTTCTGAATTAACAAGTTAATTATCTCAGAATTACAAGATAATTTTTCATGGACAAAAAGTTTTTGCTCTGTTTTTCTGAATTAACGAGTTAATTTTTCATGAGAAAAAAATGTTTTGCTCGTTAATTCAGAAAATCGGAGCAAAAACTTTTTTCTCATGAAAAATTAACTCGTTCATTCAGAAAAACAGAGCCAAAAAAAATTTCCATGAAAAATTAACTTGTTAATTCAGAAAAACAGAGCAAAAAAAATCCATGAAAAATTAACTCGTTAATTCAGAAAAACAAAACAAAAACTTTTTTCTCATGAAAAATTAATTCAGAAAAACAGAGCAATTTTTTTTCATGAAAAATTAATTCGTTAATTCAGAAAAACAGAGCAAAAACTTTTTTTCTCATGAAAAATTAACTCATTAATTCAGAAAAACAGAGCAAGAACTTTTTTCCATGAAAAATTCTCATAATTCTGAGATAATTAACTCATTAATTCAGAAAAACAGAGCAAAAACTTTTTTCCATGAAAAATTATCTCGTAATTCTGAGATAATTAACTCATTAATTCAGAAAAACAGAGCAAAAACTTTTCCATGAAAAATTCTCATAATTCTGAGATAATTAACTTATTAATTCAGAAAAACAGAGCAAAAACTTTTTTCCATGAAAAAGTATCTCATAATTCTGAGATAATTGTCACAGGTCGAGGGGAGGAACGCTCGGGTGACCAACCACCCCCCCTCTAACCGAGTCACCACCGTGAGGAGCCGACACCACAGGCACACAACAGAGGACCCGGAGACAGAGACAAGTTTCAAAGGAGTAACAATCTTTATTGAACCAAGGGTTTCTCACAGTTTAAGATACTCTCATGGATGCATGATAATGGAGCAGGGGGTTGCAGCTTACTTCTCCCCCAGTGGTGCTGCAGACTTCCAGACTCATACAGTAAGTATGGCAGGTAAGGATTCTTCACAGTACAGGGTACTCTCGTTGGTGCACGGTAATGAAGCAGTAGGTTAAAAGCTTACTTTTTCCCCAGCGGTGCTGCAGACTTCCGGACTCATACAATAAGTATGGCAGGTAAGGATTCTTCACAGTACAGGGTACTCTCTCTCTCTTTAGTTCACAGTAGGGCGACAGTGGGTTAAACGATTACTTTATCAGCGTTGCTGTATACTTCTGGGCTCAAACAGTAAGTAGAACAGGTGAGGATAGTCACAGTACACAGTACTCTCTCTTCAGTTCACAATAGGGGGACAGTGAGTCATAAGGTTACTTTACCAGTGGTGCTGTATGCTTCTGGGCTCAAAAAGCAAGTAGAACAGGTGGGGATCTTCATAGTACACAGTACTCTCTCTTCAGTTCACTATATCACTCTGGGCTTCTGACGGGGGCAGATATAATATCCTTCCACGAACGTGTAAGCATGGATAGGGCTACTTCTCAATCAGTTCACTTATCTTTGCTCTTTCCTTTCCCAGCACAGATCCAGTCGATAGCTCAGACCAGCAGGCTTCCTACAAACAATCACTATATGGGGAGGCTGCAGACTTGGAGCTGGCAGTTTTACGCCCCTGACAGTTTTACGCCCCTGACAGTTTTAAGCCCCTGTTGTTCCTGATGCGCCCAGTAGGGGGAGAAGGATATACGGCGAAATAACGTAAAAAGATGCTGGAAACAAACACACATTAATAACCGTCCAGACTTTTACTAATTTGTTGGTATTTGTTTATTTAAATAAACGTTAGACAGTGGAGTTATCTGCACTATACGGATTAAAACATCCAGATGTTCAGTTGGGCTTCACTCAACCTACAGAAGATTTGTTTTTGTAAATTAAAAACTTTAGTTGGATCAGATGGACAAAGTAATGATATTTGACCTACTGTAGAATTAATTGTTTTTAAACTGTTTTATATACAGGAAACTGACTGATATATGTTGTTGTGGACTATATAAAGTTACATTTAGGCCTATGTATTAACCATATTTAGCCTTTAGATATGCAGTACTGTATGGATCCTTAATGAAATATCTGCTGTAATATTTACAATTGGTCATCATACAGCAACAGAACAGTGTCCTACATACAATTTAATGAAGACAAACACAATTTAACCCTTTTCTAAAATTCCAAGGGCCATTTAAAAGAAAGAGACAATATTTTTGTTCACATAAAAGGTTATTTATTTACAAAAGAAGGTAAAGTTGAATAGTGGTAGAAACAATGGTTATAAAATAATGGTACAATGTCATGGTTGAACATTTTTGGGGGGTTCAAAAGGGGTGTTTATAAAAGATTAGAGACAGAGATTTTAATTTTCTTAAGTAGCTAAAGCAGACACACCTTAATGAGATATAAGTTAAAAAGAACTAAAGACAGAATATGATAAAACACACATTAAGTGCACATACATTTTAGTCCAGATCAGTAAGCTATTTTAAGAAAACTGTATGATATACATATAAAAAATTAGATCATCTCATTTATAAAAAACAACTTAAACCAAAATGTACATTTAAACCATATGGGACCAAAGTTTTTAATGTGGGCTTTATAATGCATTATGTTTGTATGTATTATAAGACAAAATATTATAGTGAGTGTGCAGTTTGAATCTTTAGAGAGATTTGCATTCAAATACATGCATGCCTATTATAAATGTGTTTGTGTACACATCATAAACTGTAATTAACACATTTCCAATATCCACTGTTGCTCCAGAAACCACGTGGAGTAGGCTATGTTTAAATGCAAGGAGTAAACGGGGTCTTACCAGTTGATGCCATGTCACGCAAGGTAAAGACAGACAAGATAAAAATAAAAATTAAATGAATTTTAAAGGTGAGTGAGACAGAGCAGATAAAGAGAAGACTAGGGAAGCTTTTAATACAGTATGTGGTTAAGTTTGCCAAGTTTGAGCCAGACAGAACATCAACCTGACCATCAAGTAGCCAACTTTTATTGTCTCTCGAAATAATAGAGACTTTATTACAGTTTTTTACAATCTCTTTGTTACTATTTTCAGAACCTTGATGTCATTTTTAAAAACTCTAGACACAAAACTCACAACCAATGATCAAAATGTACATTTTAAAAACTAACCCTTTTCTCACTTGCTCGGATACAATATACGTAAAACTTAGATAATTTGTTCATTCAACAAAAATCACCTGTTCAATATGACACAACTTAACATCAAAGTACTATTTCAAAAAGCAATTCACACATTACATTTCAAATGAGTGTCTATTCATTTCCTTACAATGATCTAACTATCAATTGATACAACTGCTCAAAATGATAACTGTTGTGTTACTCTTAATGCATGACACACAATCTTTACAGTAGGCTAAATCATGAAAGCTTCAAGATAATGAGATTCAATAAACCTTTGTTGTGATTGTAGTGTTTTGCATCAATATATCACACACTTTGTTGAATGATTCCACTATGTGTGTATTATCTCTACTACTGCAGTACTGCTTTACAGAGATGTGTTTACTGTACATGTAGTGCCATAATGAAACCTGTATCACCTATTTTGTTCTACATCATAATGATTGTACGAAAAATGACAGTGAAACTATCGGTTGCTTGTGTGTGGGTGAGCTATAGTTTTGTTTAGGCCTATTTCACAGTAAATTTGTTTTTTGAACCAATGATTGTGCAAGTGCAAGATTTCTTTAAAAATGTGAATGCACAATGCAATGTTTTGAACATTAGACAGCCTGTATTACAAGTGATAACCGTTTTGAGTTTTGTGTCTAGAGTTTTGAAAGATGACATTAAGGTTCTGAAAATAGTAGCAACGTTTTTGTAAAAAAAACTGTAAATTATAGACCGATCTTTTTTAATTGACATCGAATCTTAGCTTATCGTTTAGAAATAATCATCATTACAATTCAATCAACAACAATAACTTTAGCAGATTATTTAAAATACCTCAATTCATGTCGCTTCTATAAGGCCTGATGCTATAGATCTGTAAGTGTAGTCTCCCCCTACTGGATGCATCAGGAACGACAGGGGCTTAAAACTGTCAGGGGCGTAAAACTGTCAGGGGCGTAAAACTGCCGGCTCCAGGTCTGCAGCCTCCCCCTACTCAACAATCACTCTGATCCAGCAAGCTTGAATGGGCGTCTCTCCCTTTCCCCTGTCCCTTCCTTGTCAGTGGGTCCTCCATCTGAGCCTCCTCCATCTGTGTCTTCCCCATCTGTGTCTTCCCCATCTGTGTCTTCCCCATCTGTGTCTTCCCCATCTGTGTCTTCCCCATCTGTGTCTTCCCCATCTGTGTCTTCCCCATCTGTGTCTTCCCCATCTGTGTCTTCCCCATCTGTGTCTTCCCCGTCTGAGCCCTTTTCTCCCTTCTGTCTGTCTCCTTTTATCTTGTTTATCTTGACTCGTCAAACAGGAAACCTGTGTGAGTGCCGCTCCTCTCTCTCTCGCACCTGCAGGGCATTAGCGCTAATCAGTGCGGGCATGGTTCCATCACGCCCGGAACTGCAGTGGTGTGTTGCACACAATCCGTTCCCCTAGGGAACTTGCGACTCTGAGGAGGGTTCCGATCGCCAAGCGATTTTGTCACCCGTGACATAATTAACTCATTAATTCAGAAAAACAGAGCAAAAACTTTTTTCCATGAAAAAGTATCTCGTAATTCTGAGATAATTAACTCATTAATTCAGAAAAACAGAGCAAAAACTTTTTTCCATGAAAAAATATCTCGTAATTCTGAGATAATTAACTTGATAATTAATTTTAAAAAAATCATAATTCCTTAAATAAATCCTTAAAGTAATGTGAAATAAAGTGAAATCTCTCAGGAAATTTTTTTTAAAAAACTTTGAGTTTTCAGGCACACAATACGCTGTTGTGGTGTAAACGAACGGCCAAAACGCATAGGCCTACAAGGTTTTTTGTTGAAAACAGTCCCTTACTTGGATTTCTTTTACTGGCTGCCCAACCCGTTTATGCAGCGTGGTTTTGTTTATACATTTTGGTTTACTTGCAAAAGGTGAAAGCGAACAACACCGGAAAAAAATAAATAAAATCAATATTGTAATTGGTCCAGAACAAACCAAGTGAACTAGCAGACTTTCTTGGTGTTTATACCCCCTAGTCACTATGCAGGTACTACCAGAGCCATGTATTGAGAGAGTTCTGACAGTCCCATAGACCGCCATTGTAACTCAGGAATGCGGAAGTAACGCGTGTCATGGACCCGCCCATTAGTTCGACCCGCCCATTAGTCCCATTAGTTACTGTATTTTTTACTTTTACACACATTAGCCGACCTCTCGAGAATCTAGTCTGTAGTTATATGTTATGTAGCCACTAGCCAGATCTAGTAAGTGTTTATTGGAAGATAATAGGTTAATTGCAGCGATAGCTTACGTGACCAACACTTCACTAACGTTGTTAGCTAACTTATGGTAAAATATTATATTATATTATTCAAAATGGTTTAGGGTTATGCATATGTGTTTGTATAATGCATATAGGCATACATAAATTCACATGCATTCATATATATATATATATATATATATATATATATATACATATATATGAATTGAATCCGAACAGTTGATCGTATTTAGGAAGTTAATTCACTCATTAACTCATCATCATCATTGTCATATCTTTATTCAGGACATGCATATAAAATGGTCCATAGCACTACACAAAATAAAGTAGCCTACATTCAAAACAGAAAAAAAAAGATTAAAAAATAGTAAAAATGACTATAATCTCTATAATAAGAAAAAAACAACTATCTCTCCGGTTTCATTTTATGAAGTTAAAATTTACCGAACATTGCTGTAAATATAGTCGTTGCTACGTTATGGGAGCAGCAGTCTATTTCCTAATTAAATAATTAGTAAGTAATAGCTCACAGATGAAAGTGTTATAGATACTTCTGTGGGAATTACTAATTATTTGGATCCGTATTATAAAGTGAAGATCATTGGAACTAACTAGTAATGACTCAAGTGTTACTACATGATCTAGTCATGATTTGTGCAAACGTTTGAGATTTTTGGTGAACTTTAGTATAGTTTTAGAAAATGTCTTTAATAACACTTGAGTAATTACTAGTTAGTTCCCATGATCTTCACTTTATAATACGGATCCAAATAATTAGTAATTCCCACAGAAGTATCTAGTAACACTTTCATCTGTGAGCTGTTACTTACTAATTCGTTAATAAGAATTTCTTTTAGTTAATAGTAGTTTCTAGATTGTTAAACTTTTTCAGTAGTTCTCTGGGAAGTATTAAAAAAATAGTAGTTATTGATTACTTAATAGTGAACTACCACTTTCGTCTGTGCGCTATTACTTACTAGTTCGTTAATCAGAGTTTCTTGTTAGTTAATAATAGTTACTAGATTGTTAAAGGGTTAGTTCACCCAAAAATGAAAATTAAGTCATTAATTACTCACCCACATGTTGTTCCAACCCCGTAAGACCTTCGTTCATCTTCGGAACACAAATGAAGATATTTTTGATTAAATTTGAGCTGTCTCACTACCACATAGACTGCCTAAGGGACTGGCTCTTGACGGCCCATAAAGTCATTAAAGAAAATGTTTAAATAAACGAGACTTCCTTAGATTTCCACGACGCATGCGCGAGAACTGAACTGAAGTAGTTGAAGCAGAGATCGCAGTTCTCGCGCATGCGTCGTGGAAATCTAAGGAAGTCTCGTTTCAGGCCAACAAGGAAGAAAAGGAATAGTCGAATAAAGTCGTTATTTTTGTTTGTTTTTTCGCACAAAAAGTATTCTCGTCGCTTGATAAACTTATAGTTGAGCCACTGCAGTCACATGGGATATTTAAACATTTTCTTCATTGACTTTCTGGGCCGACAAGAGGCAGTCCCTTAGGACCCAATGTGGTAGTTATACAGCTCTCAAATTTAATCAAAAATATCTTCATTTGTGTTCCGAAGACGAACGAAGGTCTTACGGGGTTGGTACAGCATGGGGATGAGTAATTAATGACTTAATTTTCATTTTTGGGTGAACTAACCCTTTAATATTGTGTTACTCATTAGTTCTTGTGTAGTTATTCATTAACGAAGGAACCGTATTCTAAAGTGTTACCCAGTAATTCACCAAACAGAAATAAATACAAACGAGGAGTAATTCACTTAAAGTTTGCCAATGTAACGTGAACAGGGTTTGTTGTTGTGGAAAGAAGGAAACATTTAAACATTTAAACATTTTAATAGTAAAATGAACAAATACAAAATGAAATTATAAGCCAGCAGCTCCTCATTGACGACTGCTGTAACGTTACACACAACAGAAACAAAACTTCATAAATTCAGGCCTGGTTCTCTCTCGATCTGCCGTCGTCGCTCCCCGTTTATTTCGCTTCTCCGTGTGAGACGCGGGACCGGTGGTGACCGTGTTAACTGGTGATCAACTTCCTGTTCAGATCACCCGCTGCAGATGTGCACAGATCGTAGATTCGTAGGAGCAGATTCGTCGATTCTGAAAGCACAAACTGACGCGACATTAAGCTGTCTAATAAACGCAGACTTGCTCTTTACATGCGTTTCGTATTCTTGTAAAGATGACAAAATATTGCTATGATCTAATATTAATAAAAAACCATCTTTGCACGGGTTTCGAACGCGCGCATTACACCGTGACAAACATGTTGAGCTTTCTCACTACTACCTGTTTATTGCAGTCTCGGCAGCACTTTATGTTAGCCTGACTACGTCAGACTTCCTACTTCCGCTAATTTCATTTCGTTCCTGTAGTGAGTCTGAGATAGCGGCCTATCTTTCAGTTTTCCACCGGCCTGAAAACAGCCGCCCAATCAACGAACAGAGGGCGGGCTGAGAGCCGTGACGTAGACGCTAAGCGCAGAGATTTACATTGTAGTTTAGAGAAATCGAAAACCGAAACAACCGCAGGAATGGGAAACAAGACAATTCGCAATTCGCTCTGTTATGGAGAACATTCCGGGGTTTTTCAAACTGAAGCAAAGGTCATTTACAGCCATGTTCACTCCAGTATTTCGCTCGCATCATCAGTGTTTACAGCCAGGACACCGGCGCGTGCACTTCTGCCGCTCTAGGCGAAAAACTATTTTGCTGCCCATTTATTTGCAACGTATACCAGCAAAAACCAGCATGCTTGGCCATTATGTAGCTTGCACAACGCGCATACACTTTTGATTCTCTGGTCAACACAGATGCAGCCGTTTTTATTTTTGCAAATCATTATAACAAGGAAAAATATTAACACTTCAAGCTTAGGCATTTAGGCTACCCAGCAGACACTAGTTTTGCAACTATTGACTCGCCTATTTGCGAACCTAACTGGCCTACCATGTCTGTGAGGTGGTCAAAAGCAACTCTATCAACACCAGGTGTCGAGGTGTATGGACCCTCACCAGAAACCCGACCAACAGGAGTACCACCCGGGAACTGACTCAACCCAATACCCCTACCATTGTCATCATATAACTGTGGTCGTCCAACCCCCCGATTGACGTCTTCGCTGAAAGTAGCACCTTCGGCGCTGCTCAGTAGCCATGTACCCCTACCTCTAGGGAAACCCATGTTACCACAACATGATGCATCTAGATCACCAACATATTCAGGTTTCTCAGCCATAATGAAATCAAAAGTTGTGCCTGAAAAATGTAATGTTATTATTATTTTTCTAAATAAAACAAGAGAAATATCGACAATATTGATTATGAGAAAACTCACTACTTGAAATTATATTTTGATTGCAATGACAGTCAAATCAGAACTACATTCCATGTGTCCATGCGTTGTGTATGTAATAACTAATGTACAGTCCCAATGACAGTCCCAGTGTGTGAGTGTTTGTATACTGTCCGCATCCAAAGAATTGAAGACTTGACCCTACTGACGAACTTGACCTGCTCACAGCAATGAAGACTTGAACCACCGATGAACTCGATCTGTACACAGCAATCACGGTCGATCTTCATCAAGCTGATCAAGGGATCCACAGAGTCACGGCAGTGTAACGGATGTGAAAGGACACTCACAAATGGGGTTCAGCTTCAATTTATCTTTTTTGGAAACAACAAAAAAGAAAATTTACATTGTGGCTGATGACAGACTGCAGACATTCATATGGGCCACAGCGTCGACACTTGAATCTGCTGCTAACTCGCATTATTCACATTAAACACATAGTATTGATATACAATGTGAAAAACTTAACATAATACTCATAATAAGTACACCAATGTAAATGTACAGAATAGTTAATTGCAGTGATTGACAGGCCAGGAGGGGGCGTGATCGGCTCGGTATGCATTTTCAATGTTTTATATGGGTTAAAAGATAGTCTAAAGTATGTTTAAGTGTTATTATTATGTTAGTTCATCGTCTGGAATCGTTTAAAACCCTTTGAACAGTTTGCACTGAAACCGTTTGGTTCCCATTGAAGTCCATTATATGGAGAAAAATGCTGGAATGTTTTCATCAAAAACCTTCATTTCTTTTCGACTGACGAAAGACATGGACAACTTGGATGACATGGGGGTGAGTAAATTATCAGCAAAAGTTTTTTTTAAAGTGAACTAGTCCTTTAATTTAACATAAAGCAAGCAGCTACTGCGTGCATGGTCTGGCATGACTGAATGCGCTCCCTTAAAGATGAACTGAAAAAACTTTTATTGATCGGCGAAAAATGCATCATCATGCACCGTTCATTTCAGATGCTGTGCGGTGAGAGAAACGTGTCGGAGGAGGCTATGCTGTCTCTAATGGATGTCCGAGCTGAGATGCTGGAGCGCCCAATCAGTAGCAGGGTATTTTACGAATAGGTGACGGCTGGGCTAACTTGTTATACTTTTCTCAGAGTGTTTAGGTTAACAGCGTACTGGCAGTTCACTCTATGGGCGAGGGTGCGTTTAGGAAGGAGAATCCCATCCTTTACAGTGAACTATACATCAGGGATTTTTCCCCTCAGCCGAATATCAAGGATTTGAGTAACGTTAACGTGATGCGTTGAACTTGTAACTTGTGTAAATAAAACATTTGATGCAGACATTGTCAGACGTTTCATGTACTCATTGACGAAAGTACACATCTCTAAATAGTGTGTCGCTAAAAAATCAGTTTCCTCAGCCATGTCAGCGCGCCTCAGACTGTTTACAAGCTACGGCTGCTCTGCTGGTGCGGGTAGACAACGGAGTGGCTTACCATGCCAGTGACGTAGTCGAATGTTGAAATCCAACATGGCGGCGCCCGTGTAACAAAAACAACACTTTCAAATACCATTTTATCCCTTTTAACCCTCTGGGCTTCTTCGGTCAAAAATGACCAAAAACTGTTACGTTTTGAAATGTTTAATTTTTTTGCTTGATCGGATCGGGCTGAAACTTGGTGACTTTTGTTGTATTACCTATATGAACACACATAAAAATCAAGGAGATGATTCTGATTTGTTAAAGGGTCGTAAAAAAAAAAAAGTCACATTAAGCTTCCTTCCGGTCAAAAATGACCGACATAGGAAATAAATGGGAAATACGAAAAAACAGGAAAACTCAGAGAAACTTTTGGTGGTACAAGCTACAGATCAGCAACTGTGCAGAAAAAAGTGTACAGCAATGAAGGGGTGACACTCTAGAACATCAAGAGTGCAAATAAGACCACCCCCCCCCCCCCACACACACACACACACACACACACATACACAGATAAACTGGCAAGACTGCACCAGCAAATTTGTAGAATATGAAAAATAAAATCAATAAATGAGAAAAAAAATCTTGCTCAAATGCGCACTCACATGCACACGCATGCACACACACACACACACACACACACAGAGAGAGAGAGAGAGAGAGAGAGAGAGAGAGAGAGAGAGAGAGAGAGAGAGAGAGAGAGAGATTAACTGGTAAGACTGCAACAGCAATTTTTGCATATATTTGAGAATATGCAAAAATGAATAAATAAAAAATACAAGAGTGTCACTCAAATGCAACACACACGCGCGCACACACACACACACACAGATAAACTGGCAAGACTACAACGCAAAACCTAATAATTATCTTAAAAATTTTGTAAAAAAAAAAAAATTAGTCTTTTAGAATATCTAAATGTATATTTAAATTAAAAAAACTAATAAGATTGAGAAATCATGTCTAAACCAACAAAAAGTATCAAAAAGCCTTTCTATGTATTTGATTAGGAAGCTATAGGCAGCCTACAGGCTGTACAGGACATTGCACACATGTAACTATTTTTTAAAGCCACTAGGTGACGCTCTTCTACTTATAATTATTTTTTATTAGCTTACACTCTATTTTGATGTGAAATGTTGTATTTATTGAAAAAAATAAATAAATATAAAATAAAAATATGTATATTAATTCTAATGGAAAAAATAGCTCATAAAAATTATATAATTAATGCAAAGTATCATAAAAAATTCTAAAAATTCTAAATAATAATCATAAAATATTATAGAACAAAAATATATTTGAATGGTTATCCTGGGAAGAAGTAAAGTTAAATTTTAAGGCTTCGTCCGTTTTTGACCGGGAGGAAGCTAAGTGTAACCCATTTACGAAGAAGCCCAGAGGGTTAACTAATTCTGCCATTTTAAAAATTGTACCAATGAGAATAAATAAAATACATCTGTTATATCACCTTTTCTCAAATTTCAGTTCACTTCATCTTTAAAGGGATAGTTCACTTTGAAATTAATTTTGATATGTTTTAGCTTACCTCACGGGCATCCAAGATGTAGGTGTCTTTGTTTCCACAGTATTTTCAATTTTGACATTTTTAGGTCAAACCAATGTTGTCTATCAGTCATACACTGGAGGTTTGGCGGGGGGGAGTATGCACAGAGAAGTCCAAATTAAACATGATTTAAAGACTCGTATATGTATAAGTACACATTGATGGCCTAAGACACGAAACGAGCGGTTTGTGTGAGAAAACGAACAGTATTTATATCGTTTTTACCTCTTGTAATCATAGTCATGACAAAATGATCTGACGGCACGGGCGCTTCGGTCTGCGCATGCGCCGGAAGTGATCTCTCGCGCGCCTACGTCACTCTTTGTTTATACAGAGATTTCGGAAGTTTTACCTTTCACTAAACATTTTTATATATACAGGAAACCGCAATGGAAGACGATTTCGGTATATCTAAATATGTTTATTAAAATGTAAAACTTCCGAAATCCTATAATCTGTGTAAATGTTGAGTGACGTCACACGCGAGCGATCACTTCCGGCGTAACATTGAACTGATTCAGTTCGGTTCAGTTGGACATTGCGCAACTGATTCAGATCACTTGGACGTCACTGTGATTACACGAGGTAAAAACGATATAAATACTGTTCGTTTTCTCACACAAACCGCTTGTTTCGTGTCTTAGGCCATCAATGTGTACTTACATTTACGAGTCATTAAATCATGTTTAATTTGGACTTCTCTGTGCATACTCTCTGAGGTGGTGACCATAGACCTCCATTATATGACTGACAGACAACAACGGTTTGACCTAAAAATATCAAAATTGAAAATACTGTGGAAACAAAGACACCTACATCTTGGATGCCGTTGAGGTAAGATAAAACATATCAAAAATTAATTTCAGAGTGAACTATCCCTTTAATAATTCCAAAAAAGCTGACAGTTCATCGTGATCTCACACATCTCTGTTATTATCAATGAAGCTGACTGCACAATGAATCTTTCATAATATCTACACTTTGTTTGCTATAATTAGAGGATTTGCCAGCATACAGAATTCAGCACTGAATAAAAAAGTCTGTTATGAGCAGTGAGGGAAGTATATCTTAAATGCTTCTGATTGGCCATTGCGTTCAAGAAATCAACATGTCTGTGATTGCAGACTGATCTTATGAAGTAGCGTATGTATGACACGCCAATTCGTATTTCCATTTTTGGCGTGCTATCAAGACGCATAATCGCTTTTCAGCGTGTTTATGAATGCCGTTGACTTAACGGTATTACTGTATATACTGTATAAATATATGACTTACCTCAACCCCGTCCCTAAACCTACCCGTCACTGGGGTTAATGGCATTTATGACTGTTCCCTTACCATCCTAGGGAAAAAAAAAAAAAGATCGCTCCCCAAATGTGGATCTACATTTTGCTTCGTTTCGCGCGGATATTTGACGGCGTGTACAGACACGCGGAATGACGCGGACGTTAATGGCGTAGACATACACGCATACACACGGATAGCTCAAAATGCGTAGAGATAACACGCCACCTGACTTGAAAGTGGCGTGTATGTTTACGCAAAAGTCATGATGTCATGTTGGTGATTGGCTACATCGCTCAATAATGCAAACATGTTATAAATAGAAACTCTGGCCTGTAAATCGTTACTATTTAGTTTTAGTTGTTCTTGCAGATGACTAAAAATCTATTAGTTTTTAAATGTTTTATAAATAGATAATTTCTAGTTTGTATCTATATCAAATATCTATACCAAAATAAACATAAAATTTGCAACGTTACAGCACTCAGCATTAACCTGATGTTGACAATGGAGTTCTCGTAGCCTTATCTAGGTCAAAGATAAATATTTCCACTACATTACTGCCCTGGCCTACCTGTAAACCATTCCCTTGAAACCGGTCCACTCACGCCACTATAAAGTATAGGCTTTCCTGATGCAAAATTAATAGTACAGTAAAGGCAGAGACAGGTAAAGGTCACATTTTTAAGGATCTTAGGATGCCAATAATCAAGACAAGCAAACAGGGGAAAGTTATTACTTACGTGTGTATCAATATGTGAAGACCCTAGAGATGTCCCCTACTCGGCTCAATCCAGACGTTTGTGGTGCTGGTCCACTGGGGTGACCACACTGTAGTTTCAGCCGTCGTGTGTGCTGACGCGCCAGGTACACTGCAGCCGTAATGCCGGACAGAAGAGGAGTCACACCACCTTATGGAAAGAAGCGTAAATGGATGGAGAAGCATAGTTTACTGTAAAGCTATGTCTTAGTTTGTGCTAATCTTGGCGAAAGCCGAGTACAAATCTGCATGAAGTTTTAACATCTACTCTCGTGTACTGGAAATCATGTGCGAAATAACTTCACTAGATTAATTAAAAACAGTGTTTCAGTAATTAAAACACTTACTGTACAAAGGAAAAGACGCTGTGTAAAATGGGCCTGGGCTCTGAAAAGAGACTTTGGGGTGTATGTAGCTCCTGTTGAGAAAAAGAAGAAACATGAAAAGGAGTCAAATATATTGCAAATACCTTTGTGAATTAATGTGCACTCAATATCTTTATTAACTAAAACAGTATGTTAAGAACATGGCAAATAAGAACTGTAGGATACTTCTAGATCGATCACTTACAAAAATCAGATGAAAATCACTCACACTGAAAAAACAGAAAAGACCTTTCTATTTCGTTTAACTAACAAAGGTTAAGGCTCTATTTTATGAATAACTGTGTGTCTTCACTTAGTATCACTTTACTACATAACCACTTCTTTGTCTGTAATAGAAACGCACAACAAGAGCTGCTTTAATTTTAATTTTACTAAAACAAAATCATTAAAAATCCCTTGAGTGTTAGGGGTTAATATTATAAAGGGACAGATGCCATTTTTGTTTGGAAAAAAGTCAGTCCATTAATTTTATGAAGTTTAGCCTAGTTGTTTTAATACTGTCAAAAAAAAAAAAACTAATTGAAAATATTTAATACGAGAACATATATCTGATTCTTGAAACTTTGGCAAAAACATGTCCCACTAAAAAAAGTGCTAATTCTGTTGGAAATTAATAACATTTTCATGAATGAAAAGAATCAAGTTTATAATCAGGGGGTCCTTTGCACATATGTAAGGTTCTTTTATAGGTTTATTTTTCATTTTTATTATTTTAATGATTATATGCTGGCCCATTGCCTACAAAATCAGCTGTCCTCGGATAGGAGATAATCATTTCAACTTGATTAAAAAAACAAAAAGGAATAATTGAATTGAATAATATATTTACCACACAAAAGAGTACATTGCAATATGTATTAAAAACTACAAACAGTGAGTTTTGAACAATATTTACTATTATTTTGTGGTTGTTCAAAATGTGTCCCACATATTCGTCACCACCGTCAGATATTTATAAAAAGCAATAAAATCAGGCAACTACAAGGTCAACTACATTCCTCCATACCCCATTTTCAAACCTTCAGCTTTACAGCATGCTTCAAGATCACTCAAGCTCCCGTAATTTTGCTATTTTCTCTTAAACTTGTTCATATATTTGGGCACTGCTACTGTCACAACCATAACATGTCAACACCATCTCTTTTGTATAGAAAATATTAGATTATGACATAATTGTATACTTTTTAAGAAGAGGTCTGAAGTAGCTAGCAACAGAGGGGAAACAAGATGGCTATAATGTGAACAACTCATGCATATCATGTAAAAGAGTAGGTTTTGTCACCACCGTCAGACGTCACCACCGTCAGGTTTTCTATCTGACGGTGGTGACATACCGTGTGACGGTGGTGACAAAACCCCCCAAATGGTCTATAGAATATAGAATATAATTGTTGATCACAATAAATACCAATATATTATCCTGTAATGTTCCATTCACCTCTTTAATATTTTTATTTATTTAATTCCCCCTATATTTCTTCCATTCAGGCTTACACTGCATGCTACTATTAGCGCGAGTGAGAGTGAGGATGTTTCCTGATATCCTCACGGCTGTGGTTCAGCTGCAGGAATACAGCAGTTCTAATCTGAACACGTTTGATGCGATTAAATTGTGTTTCATGACGTTCATTTAGATTTTTGCCCACACTAAAAATTTGTTAAAGCCTAGCATGGATAGGAGCAGCAATAACCCCCTTGGGGTAAACAGAACAGAACCAACATGAATGTTTTGCAGATTATTTCAAAATTTAAAGTACATTATAATTCGAGAATTTATTCAGATTCTTGGGGAATCAGAATGTCAAGTCCTGACTGACGAGTGGAGCTGGGGATGGAGGAGGGTAATGAGCTCCTGAGAAACGTGATAGCTGCTGATAATACTGAAGGAGCTTATATATGTGTACAGTGATAGGCGTCATATTCCTATAGGGGGAGGTGGATCAGCTAATAGTCGGCTGATGCGAGCTTGACTAACGTGACCTGCCAGAACTAACCAGAACGTCCAATAGGGGATAAGGTGTGCCTTCCCTCTCTCTCAATTCACTATTATGCCATGTTCATTTGGCTTATGTCATTTGGGATGCACATAGTGCAGCTACTGCCTACCTACACAGCACATAGTATGCACTATCCATTCCAGGCTATGCATCTCCAATGACTAAAGCCAAATGAAAATGGCATGACATCATTTAAACAAATCTAACATTCGCTGTAATTACCCCCAATTTCATAGTCATTACACTCAACTTTGACTTTATGTATTTTAGAAAGTTATGGCTAGGCAGCAGCTATATAGAGGAGAGAAGGAGAAGAAACAGGGAATACCAAAAAAAGCTGAGAGAGAAAATACACAGTGAGGCAGAGTTAAATGAGGAATACCTCATAAAAGGAAAAAAAATGTTTATCACAGTGCTCAAGATTGTTATTTTTTGGACCAAAGAGTTAAATGAAGTTGTTAAGCAAGAATTGATTGACTTGAGTGGTATACATTGTGGAATTGTATGTTGTAAAGAGGCCACAGTCACCACAGTCAGATTAATGTCACCACCGTCAGTTCTAAAGTCACCACCGTCAGAGGGAGTTTTATTGGTTTTAAATGAATATACTTGAAATATGATTCTTCAGTGCTGTTGAGTTATTAAAGTAATAGTCTCTTTTAATACAAAAATATGTTTGTTAAATAAAACAACATTAATTTTTCTATTTAGGCTTAAAGTAAATGTTGTATGATGTTATATCTTTTAAAGGAGTACACGCAAAACAGTATAAAAAATGAACAAAAGTGAATATTCAACATTTAACAGCATATATGTGTACCAAGAATGCCAGATAATGATTTAAAAACTCTAAATACATATTAGACCAAACAAATAAAAAATAATTTGCTATTTAATTATTTGTAATTTAACTAACTTTTTATTTTCAAAATTAAAACCTGTTTTATCCAAATTCCCAAGAATCACTGATATAACAGTCAGTTAATAATAACTAAAGTCAACAGTTAGTTATAATAACTAACCATGTCCAGAAACACGTAAATTAAAGTTAATAAATCTCCGCCGCCAATTTCATCCGTTATCGAAAACATTTCTCAGAAAACTCGACGTTTTCTAACAAAATTATATTTTTCAATAAAAAAATAAGTACACAAAACAAAATAAACACTGGCTTGAAAATTGTGTGTTTGAAAAGGATAAACAGAGTCCGATGCTGTAGACTTTAGCTTTAGACGAACACTGACACCCTGTGGTGAAATAATGGCGTATTTTGAAGCTTTCTCGGATTGGCTTGTTTTGGATTTGAACTTCATGTTCCGATGAGTTTTGAAAATTCTGCACGCGGTAAACATCAGAATATCCCTTCTTATGTCAATAAAAATTCCAAAATGTAAAATATTATTACAGACACTCGTTTTAGGTGGCGTTTGATCAACTCATTGAACGTAAACATAACCGGAGATAAGTGATGTTTCCAAACGGAAGTGCGTCGCGAAGTTCAGTGCAAGTGGTCCATTATATTTTAGGATTTAAATAAATTTTCCACTTGTCCTGATATGTCACCAAAATTATCTTAACACATTTTTGAATGTTCTCTTATTAATCCTGTCAAACCCTCAATTATTCTGACTTTAAATATAAAATCTTGTTATAAAATGATACTAGAAATATTGTTTTTTATTATGAAATGAAAGGACAAGGTGAGATGTTTTATGTAGAAACATTAGAATAGAAAACAATACTTTTTCCCCGCTGTAAACAATGTAGGCAATGAGTTCAGCTTTTTTTTTTTTTTTTTTATTAAACATTTACTTACATACAACAGTGAAAGGTTTTGAAAACCACAAACAAGAGCCAGAGGTTCAAGGATTGATACATATTACATTACATTGGAATTTAACAAGAAAGACAAAAAAATACAAAAAAATAAAATAATAATAACTTAAACAGAAAATAATGTTATATATATATATATATATATACATACATACACATATATACATATATACATACATACACACATAAACATATATATATATATATATATATATATATAGCCTATATACATACATACATACATACACACACACATACACACATACTATCTCTTTTTATACAAACACATCAAAAAATGAGCATACATTCAAAGTTTTAGTAGCCTTTTGGTTACAAGAGGTAGATAAAGTTCTGATATAAATCTTAACATCTTCTTGAAAGTGAGAAAAATTGGGGGTAACTTTCATAGTTTTACATTTGTGGATAAAATATTTTGCAAGCAAAATAATTAAGTTGCAAAGAAAAAAAAATATTCTCATATTGCTTCTCAAATATGAAAAACCCAAATAGAACATCTTTGAAGTAAAGCACAAAGTCTTTATATATATAATTTACAATGAATTGGCAAATGTCTTGCCAAAGTTTTCTGGTATGACCACAGTACCAAAAAAGATGTAAGATAGTCTCTGGTTCTGAATCACAAAAAGTACAGTTTACATCTATACTTAATTTAAATTTTGACACTATGAACGTTTTGACAGGATAATATTGATGAATAAGCTTAAAAGAAATCTCTTTGACCTTATTTACCAATAGGTACTTGTTAGGGAAAAGTTTCACTCGCTGGAAGACAGCGCGAGAGGGATCTTCTCGACGACCGATTTCAACATCTCAGGGAAGCAGGTTGGCAACTGAGGCAAGTGTAAAACGAACTGAGAACTCTGGTGTTTCTGGTTTAGAGACAATTAGGTGTTATAAGTGTGGTCAATTGGGTCATAAAAAGCCAATGTGTCCACAGTTGACAAAAACCCTTACTAATACATGTTTTGTACCTCGGGAAACCATACCTGAACCTGCCAACATTCCTGTTCCAAAGCAAGTGATAAGAACTGTTGAGTTAAATGGGAAGAAAGTCACTGCCTTGATCGATACAGGTTGCACGCAAACCCTAGTGGAGTCAGAACTTGTACCTGAATTAGGTGCTAGTGGTAATGCTCCAGTAATAGTGAGATGTGTTCACGGGGAGGAGCGTCAGTATTCTGTCACTGATGTATATATGGGCATAGCAGGGCAAACTTATGTGATGAGGGTAGGACTTGCACAGAACTTACCATACCCAGTTATTTTAGGCCATGATTTTTCTGCGCTGATAGATTTATTGCCTCATGGGGATAGTTGCAATGTAGTTCTGACGCGAGCTCAAAGTAAACAGAATGAATGTGAGGAAGAGGAAAACTCATTGTTGTCGTTACCATTTTTTGATTCTGAGTTGTCTGTGAATCAATGTAAAGAAAAGAAATCTAGGAGGGAACGAAGACAGGAAAAAATTAAGAGAACCGTAGTGCAGGCAAGAGACTTAAAAGAACCTGACAAACTGTTGAATGCTGATCAGATTCCAATACCTGAGGATTTAAGGCAGTTGCAGAAAGGGGATGCTGAAATCTCTAAATTGTATTCCCAGG